CCAGCGCCCCACTCTTAAGGAATACATAACGGCGACGCTAGCAACTTTGTTACTTAGGTTGGAATAAATTGAGACCCCCCCTAAATGAAAAAAAAATCACTGATGGAAGGAGCCATTTGTCGAGTTATTGTTGGGTTATTGACTCCCCCCCCACACACACACAGAGTTCGCGTCCAGCGCGCGGCCCTACGGGCCGCAATAGAGGCTGCAAATCACTTCTTTTGGTCGAACTTTGGTCATTTGGGTCCCACAGCCGGGGCCTTAAGCCGAATTTCGGCTGCGGGTACTGTGGTACGGACAAGGGTACACATTGTGTACCCTTGTTTTTGTCTGTGGACAATTTTTTCACTTAGGCGCGCAGTAACAAATATAACATGTGGGCTTAATGTATGGCTAGTGAACAGCAAGTGTTTCATTAAGCGCACCGAAACCGTACGACAGGTTGTTTTTTTCAAGTTTTTTAGCGCCTAGTAGTAAGGCTGAGGTCGCCTTCTCTAGTTACTGTTTTCTATCGCAGATGGGGTTCATAACTCATTTATTCCTTTTTTGATTCTTCTTTTTAACTACGCTAGTGAGCCTCCTTTCTCGTCTGGGTCTTACGAGCTCTCGCCAGTTGAATACTCTGTCTGCTTAAATCGACCAGTGCTAGCATAACACTGCCAATGCACGTAGTTTCCGCGTACCTATACCAGTCGCCATGGTACGGTCAGCCACGCCCTACCGACCTACACAACAATTTTGCAAGAACGATTATTGATAAGTCGTGTTGTGTTGATTTACAGCAGCTAAGCCATGCTGCTAGATCGGCTTTGCAACTATCAACCTGGCCGCGAAAACTCCCTGACGTCCCGACGGAAACCTTGCCAAACTTCATTAATATCTTTTCAAGAAAATATTTTAGGACATGGATTAACAAAAAGTAAAGCTTGACACACACAAAACGACACGATGGCACACCACATACATCGCTAAAAAGCCGTTCCCGAGGTGAGCTTTCGCGACGCTCTTCAGGCATTACAACCTACTGCGCGAACATGAGCATAGGCATTGCTGCGTTCTGCTGTATGTTGATGGATGGATTGGCGTACAAACTGTACGTGCTTGGACGAGGCAATAGAAAGCTATTTTGATGATTTAGGCGCCCTCGTCTGTCTGTTATTATGCCTCGGCGTGCATTGCGGGTCTGTCTCGTATGGTAGGTACCTGCGTTCCTCCCGTCTCGCTCTCGTGCGTTCAGTAGGGCTTCTGGGGGCTGTAGGGGGACTGGGCGTTTGCGTCTTGCAGTTTGCGGCCCGTTTGGCTTTTCTGGGGCGAAGTCTCGCATCCGGTTTTGTCAGGTGGTTCTTTTCCATGGCCTTGGCTTGCCGTTGCTTAAGGATAAGGCCCCAGCGTGTGCTGTAAGCACATGCAGCCATTCCGGCTCCGCTGTAAGAATTGATTTACTGGAAATTTCGACCCTCAAATAAGAAATTCGCAAGCCGGATGCAGATGGGGAAACTCTCTATGCTTCTGCGCTTGCTAAATTTTTCTGTCTTCTTAAGGTTATGCCAGCCCATGCATACCTCACACGGCAAACTTTTTATCATTCCTGTCCGCCGGTATGGGCCGAATAACCAGATGACAGAGATCAAGGAAGCGATATCATTGTCATTCCTCTTACCTGGCTCAGTGCTTGTAATTCCAAACCTCATGGAGCATAAGTTCAGCGATGGTACAGCAAACGAAATGTCAAGCAAGGAGCTCTTTGAAATTGGTTTACTAACCCAAGCAGAAGTGCGTTTTGTGTTCTTGGATGACCTACGTAAGCATTGGAATGGCGCACTCGACGTCATTGTCTACTTCCGCGACGACAAGTTTCCACAGGTTAATTAGATATCCATAAAAAAACTACTTTGTTCCATAAGAACGCCGGATGTATTCTTATCACAAGCGACATGCTGAAGTGTGCAGTCGTATGCAGGTTGAGAAACTGGCCAAGCATATGGGCCTCAAAGCACCACCAGAAGATAAATGGCTCCGATCGCCCATAGGCGCTTTACAGGGTTGCACGTACGTAAAACCTGTTGTGAGCTCTCGTCGCTTTCCGTGTTGTCCTATCCAACTGAGCACTATCTGCCTGTCCGGCTGCTAGGAATTTGCACGGGAGTTTTGCCGTCAGCAGCCAGCATTCGCACAACATCGACCCTTATTGCAGAGCCCCTCCTTCAGCGGCCCTGATTCCCGAGAGGTGCTCCACACACAAATCCACCGCATGCTAACATTCGGCGCCCGTCGCCTCCTCGGCGTCCTGGAGCCGTCCGAATCCTCCACAGCAGCTGCTTACTTTGCCACCGTGCCCCTTGTTACCGTACGGTGCAGGCTTGATCAGGTCCTGCAACTCCGTGAGACGTTGAAGCCGTACCGACACGTGGGTGTGCTGAGCTACAACCAGTTCGCTTTGCAGACACACAGGCTTGCTGGTACGCTGCTGCTGAATTGCAGCTCGGATCTATGCTGCCATTCGTATCGGAACCATAGCGTGCTGCTGAGGCATTCAGCGCAGGTATGATGTATGTACGGCAGCTGACATCATGTGACGTTTTCCCCACAGTGTAGTTTTTCACGCGATTTCGTTATATCCGATTAAAAGCGCGAATCGGCGACAAACAACAGTCCCTGTATGCTCCGTATGTCTCCCCGATGTGGTCCGTGATGCTCCAGCTCCATCACATCATGAATTTATAATGTGAGGGGTTGGAGGCGCCGTGCAGGCACCTTGTCAGTCCGACGTGCGCTGAGAAGGTTCATGCAACGCGGGGGGACTCCCCCCGGGGGAGAGGTCCAGGCATAACCCCCACAACGGAGGATAGCAATGGAATTTAGCTTTCAGCTGTCGTTGGCCGCAGGTAGTGGAGCTGGCCAAAGGTTACATTCGCAAATCTATTGGACAAGGACAGCCCTTCATCGCTAGGTGGGTGGTTGGATGGCTGGGTGGTTGGATGGCTGGGTGGATGGCTGGCGGAGCAGTGTAGCGGTCTTGGGCCGGGCTAGCTCCTGGACAGCGACTGGGGGGTCTCTACGGCGCCGGGCAAAAGTCAAGGAGTTGTACTGCCTAGCAACCTAGAGCTCCTGTAGCTGTTTGCGGCCGTAGCGTGTCCTGGTGACCGGCTCTTGCGGTTGTTGGTTAATGGTTACTTATTGGTGGTTCGTGGGTAGTTGTTGTGAGCTGCACAGCTTTGTTGCGTAGCTGATGTTGGTGTCCATCCTAAAGGGCTCCTATCTGGCGGTGGACGGCCAACGTTCTGGCCCCGAATGGGTCGTTCTTGCCGCGTGTGTATGACACGCTGGGTACTGAATCCCGGGTCTGGCACCGGACCCCCTGATTTTGATTTTGTGCAGTCACATCCGGCCGATCCCCGATGATTGCGTCGAGTTCTGGCAATCTCCCGAAGAGAACCTCGACCCCGTCCAGTTGAGGGAAATTTGCCGGAATAACTACTTGTACAGCAGGTACGTAGCCGCCGGTCATCTCAATTTCAGCTAGTGGCATGAGAGTCAAACCATGTTTTTTGGTCTACAGGCATTTATATGGTCTATAGACAAGGGCCTTGAAGGTCCATAGACCTGCACGAAATGGAATAAATAAAGACGCCCTGAAACCCTCAAGTGTTTTTTATAATTGGAGCCAAGCTTTTGTAGCTTAGGGAGCGATATCATTTGTCTTTTGGTGTGTCGCTTATGGCCACTGACCCAAGCGGCTGGCGGGGGCCCTACGCCCCACCCCAGAACCCCCTTGGATTACCAACACAGTGATGCCGTACAAGGGTACAGCATCTATAGTTGCAAATCTCTCCATGAGCCAGGCGCCCGTCCGGTCCATCATGCAATACCGCTTACGGTGTCTCCCACATTGTCGTTACTTGCTCTCATCTCACACCAAAAACGCTCCATGCAGTGGCAGGGCAACTCTCTCTCCTCAGTTCTCACATTCTTGGTTGGTTGGTAAACACACACGCACACACCCAAATTGCCCGGGTCATCTCTTTCTTCGGCCTCTATCAGCTCCCCTCCCCGAGTATGCCACCCCAACAACGAACTCTGTTTGTGGCCATAACGTTGCACAAGGCGGCACCCTGGCCAGTGAGCTGCGGCGAAGGTTTCAGTTGCTCAATTGCCTCACTGTTGACCGCTTCGCTGACGAAATGGACTCAGGCTGAAACGTGCAAACCAAGGCCTGTACGGCACGTGTACGGAACTCTGGATTCTGGACGCTTGACCCCGAACTCTATAGAAGATTGCTGCGACTTCCACGACGTGCCAGGCATGGTGAAGGGCGCTGGCTTTGTTCTTTCCCTCCCGCAGGCTGGTCCCCAATCTCCTGGCCCTGCAGAGGCTGTACAACACAACCGCCGTCTTCATTATGACACACCCCACCATCCGGCCTCGGGTGGCCAGGATGCTGAAGGTGCGGTCACGAATGTGGCTGTGGTTAGGAGCCAAGGTTTAGTTGCAGTCCATGCGGCGATTGGGCCTCTTGCTTTGAACAGGAGTTCGCTTGGCAAACTCGTTTTACGTGGGACAATCCAGCAAGTGTGCTATGGCTCATTGTTGACTCTTAACGCACGCGCGACTCTCTGGTTCCCACAGGCCGGAGGAATCAACGCCGCATTCCTTGACTTGTCGGACCTCATGTCTATCAACATGGAAGCCGCACGGCCACTGCGCAGCCCGATGTCTTTTTCCCTGCTTGCGATTGTGGAGGAGGCTGTGGCGGCGGATGCGAGGGCGTTCCTGGGCACCGCGGAGAGCAGCATGACCGGCATGATCGTGCAGGTGAGGGAGTCCACTGCACGGAAATAAGGGCTTGTACGGCAAACAGGGGTTGCAAGCTCCTTCATGCCCATGCCTGATAGCGAAGTCCTGACCCGGGGCTGTGCCTGCAAATGGGGCGAAGTTCGGGGTAATCACTTTGGGACCAGAAAGCGGAGTCTTTGAAGGATGCGGGGACCGATGTCGCAACACGCGCAGCTGGCTGGCTGGGCTGGTGCGGCAGCTGCTGCCTAGAGTGAGTGTGACGTGTTGTTGGCATGGGAGGAGAATTTTGGAGGAGAGTAATAACCCGTTGTGCTATCATCGTCGCATCACGCGTTTCATCAAGCGATATACATATGCTTGTAACAGTTCCAACTAATAGCGCTTCACTGTTTTTTTTCAATACATGTAGATCATCAGCATGCGCCACTACTGCCATAATGACGCTTTATCGGCCGGCCAATACTCGTGTATGCACCGGGATATGAAATGGGGTAACTAACACAAGATCAAAAGCTGCACGATCGGTCCACGACGTGTGTTTATTTTAATTACCACCTCGTCGACCACAAGTTGCGGACTGCTGTAGCTCTTGGAAATGACACCGCCCCTGGCGGTGCAGCGGCTGCTGGACTGGACTGGACTGGACTGGACTGGATCATCACTTGCCTTGTCTTGCCGCCACCCGGGGTCACCCTCGGGATGAACCCTGGAATGAACCTTCTCGTTTCGGCGAGAGCATCTTCTTTTGCCCCTTAACCTCCCGTCCACCTCGCCTACTAAGTTTTTGTTATCCGCATTCCTGCCCTCGTGATCATGCATGGCGTTACTTCCTGCCTGAGCTGAGCGAACACCCTCTCTACTTCGTCCCCTCTGTGCCTTGCCTGGTGCATGATGACTCGTGCTGGGGCCAGGAACGCATCGCCCGAGGACTCGACCCCAGCGACTGCTACTTTTTCTCAGACAGCTCCATGAATCCAAATCGCGTTACCGACTTCTACGTCCGCTGGGAAGCGGAGGAACTACTGGCGCGGTCCAGGGGAGGTGCTTCCCCGTCCCCTCCCGTCGCTGCCGTGACCGGGGTAAACTTCAGGATATAAGTATATCATCAGATTCTCGGATTGGAGCAATGAAACAGAAGAGACCCAACTGCCCGACGCGGAGGACGGTGTAGCAGTTTAAAGCCACTATAATGCGCCATTTCTATTCACCCTCAAACACAGACACCCTCCAATCGCCAGCAGTCAGTGGTGGCCGACGGTCCCCGACTGCTGTCACCTGCGGTTGTGCGCACCAAGCTGTTCTTCAAGTGTTGGTCATCTTTTCCCCTCCTTTGATGTTATTCCAGTTTTCCAGATTTCTGGGGGGGGAGGGGAAAGACGAGATGGTTTTGACGATCCAAACCTTTAGATTCGAAGGTTTGCCCCGAGGAAGCGGAACAGGCAGCGGGATAAAACGACGGTGCTGTCGCTGTATGGTGAGTTCCAACAGGAAGATGTGGGGGAGGAAGGTGGACCACCCTTCTGGGCCGGGACGGCGGTGGGCATGTATACGGATGGCGAGATGGCGACGATGTCCGTGTCTGCAGAGCTCAAAAAGGGATTCCATTCTGGTAGAGACTCCCGTACAATAGCAGTACGGCACGTGCATGCTTAATTGGCAGCACATACACAGCGCGGGCATGCTTTATTGGCACTGCATACATACATATGCACATACAGGGGCACCCAATGGTGGAACCCACACAGGACTACCCTTCTGTGGAGTTGCAGTGAGTGAGGCGGTTGTTGCTTTGATCGTACATATGAGGCCACCTCCTTTCTCTTAGAGTGGGCCCTCTTGCTGTTGGGGATTTCCATGGAGTCATCCAATAAGTTGCGCTACAACAAATTGCCCCTCCTAGTTTCTATGTCATGGTGACATATATCATTGATTCTGGTAGACAGGAGCTGGGGAGGTGGAAGGCAGAGGTGAACGGCGTCCTGATTGGCTTCTCACTCGCCAACCTGCTGTGTTTTCCCCGTCACGTTGATTTAGGGATCAAGCTGACCGACAAGAAAGCGTCGTACTCGTGTGGTTCAATGTTCATAGTGTTTATGCATTTAGAATGCATGTTGATGAGCGGCCAGTGATGAGCTGTTGGTGAGATGGTGTAGGTCCTGCTGCTGTGCGCGCGCGTGTGTGTGTGTGCAGTAGCTGTAGACGGTACTGCGCACATACCTTCTACAAACACACGCTAATGAGGCGCTCCGCCAGCATCTAAAGAGGCCTTGCTGGCGGCCAGATATTACAGCATGTATGTTGTTACAGGGTGGTATAGCTTCACCAGCGGCCCCCTTTCCCGAGGCAGTTCCCTGCTCTCCCCTGCTAGAGGGACACCCTAATCCGTCCACCCCATCCGACTTCAGAATGTATTCGTTGGGTTCTCCCAACGAAATAAACCATGAATACCTCCTGGAGCAGAAGCACATAAACACATGCACGAGTATATACATACACATATACACATGCAATACATATGCAATACACTTGCGAGCTGCCCAGGAACGGAGCAGAAGCACATAAACACATGCACGAGTATATACATACACATACACATATACACATGCAATACATATGCAATACACTTGCGAGCTGACCAGGAACTAAGTCGAGGCGCCGTTGATCCGCTAGATTTGGTTAGATGCTGGTGGTGAGTTGCTGTTGGTTGCCCCTCCTGACGAGTGAAGCATCGTAAGGAGGAGGGGGGCCCCACCTCAGGGGTGAAACCCGCCCGCCCGCCCGCCCGCAGATACACCATGACGGGCTTAGGGTCGAAGAATTTTTAGGGTTTGCGTTATAAGTTTTCATGAAATTGTCCTCGGGGGTGAAGGACACAGCCAGTGATGACGGCAGTGATGGTGGTAGTGATGGCGGTAGTGATGGTGGCTGCCCAGCCTGGGCCACAGGCCCAGTTGGCGCCCCAACAGCGGCGCCTGAGGGAGTGTTGCCGTACATGGCTTTCCATTGGATGGGTGCACGGTAGAGCCCAGTTGGAAGATCAGACCACGATCACGTCGAGAACACAGGCTGTGTGGCCGAAGCCGAAGCCAGGAGACCAATGGATAAGTTAGCCAGCAGAGGTTTACACGCTAGTGATGTATCAAGAAGGGGAGAGCCTGCCCGCCAAAAACACGAAAATGCCAAGCCACGAATGAGCACCTGTAAATCCACCAGAACTCAGCTCCGAAATCACCGCTCACTCGCCGTAATAATGATGCGCAGCTTGCCATCAGGGTTCCCCAGGGAGCAGCGCCTTCAGCCATTCAGCTCCAACGGGGGGTCGTCGGCATTGCTGTACACAAAAAAAAGCTGCATCTCAGCGACCAGCAGCAGCAAGCCTTGTCCGCCCTGCTTACCATCCGGGTAGAACAACGGAGCGATGACAAATTTGAATGTTTGAATGTTCGCCTACAGAGCCATACTACGGACCGATGGAATCCCCCGGCAAACAAGGCAAGGCACACACGCCTTCTCCTCCTTGGCACCCCTGCTGGGGTCTTGGGTCCCCGATGTGCTGTCAGGCTGTTGGACTCAGAGCGTCTCTGTTTCAGGGCGTCTAGGAAGCTGGTGTGCCCTTGCCAATATCAGCCATATCGATATAGTTCACGCTGTAGAACAAATCGCCATCCTTGACGGCGGCTTCTGAGTACAACAGCTGTAGTAGCAGCGAAGTCCTATCCGACTGCAGCCACAGCAATGGACAGGGCGGGCAGCCAGGATAGCGGGCAGCCAGGATAGGGGGTGCTGCCCCCTCCGCCCAGCCATCCGTGTACTTAAGTGCTGAGCGGGCGCCAACAGACGACAAAAGTGCATCTATCAGGTACCTGCGGTGGCGCTCTGGCGAGTTACAGAGTACACACAGCTCCGAACTTCTGACGAACCTGACGAAGCACCGTCTGTGCCGTGTCCTGGCGGCGAGTGGGGTACTTGATCGTGCATTGATGCCCTCGCTCTCAATGCGAACGTGCGGGATCGCTCACACCCGACCTGCATGCATGTTTTGGTTGTACGACGCCGGCCAGAGGGGTTAAAAAAAGGACCAGTCGCAAGCCAAGTCTCCGGAGCGTGCCCAAAGCTTCATGGCCAGCCCCACTCGATGCATGCACTTGGGGATCGAGTTTGCTGAAGTTGGAGCACTGTTTCCCCAAGTAATGGCTTTGGGGGGGAGACATGTTTACCTGCTGTTGGGGTGGAAACAAAGGATTGCCTTTTTAGGCTCTACTGCAGCAGCAGGATGGACTTGCCAGGCCACCAATCGGCTCATCAGCACACAGCCCATGATACACAAAAGTCAAGCAAACTTTTTGTCTTGTGAACCACAGCCAGCATGGCGGCAAGGGGTCTTCTGGCATATCTTCGCTCCAGCTCACTGCCGATGATAGCCGCCGCTCGTGCAGCATCATTTTTAGGCGCCCTGCACACTACAGTAGGGACAGCCTGTTTTTCCAGCCTTGCCGCACCTTGCAGGCCTTCCATTCCCAAACCGGGCCTCGTGCCCGGCCCGCCGAGAGCACACCACCGCGCCCAGGCGCCGCTCCAAAACCAGCGGCACAGGCCGCAACAGCACCGCCGCCGCCACCGTCGCCGCCGCCGCCAACCCCAAACGGCGTTTCGGCCACTGCTGCCAGCGGCTCCAAACAGCCCCCTCCAGGTGGCGTGGCTTCCTCAGCACCGCCCGGCAGTGGCGGTGAAGGCAGCGGCAGTGGTGGTGATGCTGCCACCAGTGTTTTTTTTTTAAGTAATATATTACTTTTAAGGAATAAAGAGGCCTTTTTGGCCTTTGGAAATAAGGAACAAAGTGAGCCTGCCACACCCACCGTCATATAGAGCCGCTGCTCGCCATTGGCGTGGGCAACGCTGATCACGACTTGCCAATTTTACATCGCTGCCTATTGCAATCACCAAAACGTGCGATTTGGGTCGCCGGACCCCAGCGATGGATTTTTTCTATTTGCAGGTTGAACTAAACCTGGGGCCTGCAGGTTGAACTGTTTACGACAACTGCCTGGCGCGGTGTTGCTACTGCTACATCCTTACTCGATGTTCAGCCCGCCCAAGAGCTTGCCTGGCCGGGTCCGTAAGGAGCCCTATCCCTGCCTGCCTGCTACGCTCCGGGAGCCTAACCGCCGCCACCATAGATAGGGGCTCACACTCACATTCACACTCACACTCAGCCATGCTGATGCTTGTGCTCATGCTGCGCGTACCTCCTTACTTACGCTCTCCCTGCTCTGTTACCCTGCTGCCGAACACGTCACCCACAGGCAGTTTATCCCATCACCCATCTGCCGCGCGGGGCTCACGCTGAGCTTTAACAACCCCTAAACTCTCCTCAAAACTGCACTACTCGGGACGTTTTCGATGAGGCGGAATGGGACAAGAATGTGGAGAAGCTGTGGCAGCAGTAACGTCGTCCAGGTATTGTCTTGAAATCTTCAAAAGATTGTGGATCTGAGCTCGGGGGGACCCCAGGAGGGGGTCATCCATGTCCCGTAGGACGCATTCCTGGGCGGGACTGACTTCCCTGGTCTCCCGCCTTACCTGAGTCTGTGCGGCTATATGGAGGGGTTGCACCACTTCATGCACCAAGCGGAAGCCACCACCTGACACACCACCGCACAGAAACAACAGCACACAACTCCGTGCATGTGTGCTGAACGAGTAAAGATGTGCTGTACGACCGAACATCCCATCCTGACAGGCTCCTGTTGGATCGACACTAGTTGTGCACTTTGAAGGGAAGGCGCTTTCCCCCTCGGGGGCGGGGGCGGGGGAGGGGGGGATCTTAACTCCGTCATCCGCCAACTATCCGTCTCGACACATGGTCGTTAGTCAACCACCAACCCGTCTACAGAGCTTTCCGTCCTTCCCTCCCTCCTGCCTCTTCTCTGCCCCCCTCCGCGTAACATAACCCAACGGAAGGACGGATTTCAAATCCTTTCCCCCTCCTCCTCCTCCGTTGTGTGAGAGATGTCTATCTCCCTCCTCCTCCAACCAGGGTTGTAGTAAGCACCGTGAAATCGGTCTTAGCAATGACGCGAACGGTCAAGGGGAGGGAGGGCCTTGATGCCGCCTTGTCCCTTTCCACCGGCAAGGTCACCACTTCGACCCCGACCCCAGACATGTGTTTTGACCTGAAGTAGACCACGGACATAACAAAAACGCATACATGAGCCCAATTTGAGAGCAGCAGCACAACATACGTCTTCTTCTCCTCCTTGTCCTCCTCCTTGTCCTCCTCTTGCTTTGAAAGTGACCGCCCGGAGTTCGCAGGAGCCGGTACGTGCTCGTGTTCAGTACACTGGCCCTTCATCGCCGCCGTCATCAAATCCGTCACCATACCCTTCGTCATCGTCAAAATGCTCGCCCTGCGGTGAGGGGGTGTATACATGTGCATGTACACGGTTTCAATGGGCTTTAGCAAGGTTTTAGTAATTTGGTCTTAGTTATTAGGCTTTAAATGTGCGGGTTTTAGGGCGCTGTTGGGAGCTACATGGGGCTTACTACTACGTGTGCGAGTAGTAGAAATGACCGAATAAGACAGACAGATATCATACAGACGCACAAGACAAGAAAACTATTCCTTACCGTTCCTTTTCCTTTTTTTGGAAGACTAACCACAAATCAGTGGCAGAATCTACTATGAATATATTTGCCCTGAAAAGGACGATCAACTACTATCGGTTGCAATATGAACTACATCAGGCACGGAGGGTAAACAATTTAACTCAAGCCGCTTTCCTCATCAAAATATACTACACACTCTAGTCACTGCCAAATGCTACAATGATTTTTAATCCATAAGACTTGTATTTTAGCCCTCCACCGCGGTAACCCTAAATCGCTCAAAAAGAAACAAATGCATATGGGCCCCCACCCACTCACGACACCCCCCACCCACGACCCCCCCCACACTCACCTGGTAGTAGTCATCGTCCTCCATGTCCTCCTCCTCGTCCGTGTCCCGGAGCTCCTCCTCCGCAGCCGCCTCCTCCTCCTCGCCCTCCGCACCCCCCGCCGCCTTACGAGCCCCGGGAGCGCCCTCCTCCCCCACCTGGCTCTCCAACTTGGCCAACTGCTCCAACCGCCGTAAACCTGTACGGAGGAGAAACACACACACAATAAAGACAGACACACATACACATACACAAGCAGGTACACATACACACTGAAGACAGGGGGGTGTCACTTCGGTATGGTTCCCGTGGGTCCCGGGCACCAGGCCCGGATGGACTAGTTCGCACCCCCCCCACACACACACCCCGTGTAAAACACACACACATACCCACCCCAAGGGCCTTCCCCAACTAACCACTCCACACATACCTACGCACACACACACACACACACCTATATGTATACGCACCTGACGGGTCATCGGGTCGGCTCTGAGTGCGGAAGTATGCGTCCTGGCCTCGCAGTGTTTGCAGGCGGGAGGCGCTGCGGGGGTTTGGGTGGGGAGGG